GCACGATGATTAGACTGTCTCTTATTGGTGATGGTCATAGCCTGACATTTGTGTGGCACAAATGTTACTTGCCACTTGTCAGCCCAAGCCTGGATATTATCCAGATTTTGTTGAATGTGAACATGGACTGCTTCAGTATCTGAGGATTCATGAATGGGGCTGAACATTGTGCAATCAATCATCGGCAAACATCCCCCCTTCTGACCCTATGATGGAGGGAAGGTCATTGATGAAGCAGCTGAAGATGGTTGGACCTAGGACACTACCCCTGAGGAACTCCTGCAGAGATGTCCTGGAGCTGAGATGACTGACCTCCAACAACCAAGATCATCTTCCTATGTGTCAGGTATGACTTTAACCACCGGAGAGTTTGTATGTACAGTGAAGAAAAGAACAGCAAAGAATAAAAGCGTGGGCACACAACTGTGGTTAAAACACTCGAAGACCAATTGATATTCACACGCTGAACATACTGCATAAGCCCCAAAGATGCTACCCTCCTGACTTCACAAAGAACTGGAATAGGACCTGCTTCTCCAAAGCACTGAATTCAGTTTCAAATCTTACCACAATAATTATATCAAAGAAACCATAATCTCCACAGCCACATTCACACTCTTGGATTTTATCCTAAAAGCAATTAAATACTGTTTCGAATTAACTTCTATTGTTTGGTGCAATAACAATCAGATCACTAACAAGACAGACTATTGAATTTTCTGATGAAAAGTCATCGAGTTGAAATGATAACTACATTTGTCTTTCCACAGATTGCTGCTTGACCTACTGGATATTCCCACTATTCTCTCTCAATGCTCTCATTGTCAGAAAAAATACAAATGAATTTTCTTTTCAGCTGGCAGTCTATTCTGTTAACATTCTGAATATAAATCCAAGCAGGTTTCTTTCATCACATATTACCTGTGTCATTCTACAGACCCTCCTCACTGAAACCAATATTAGAAGCATAGCTTCTTCACACCTCTGCCACCATCCAATATGATCATGATTGACCGTCCGACAGATCTCCACTTTTCTGCTGACTCTCCAAATCTCCTAATTTCCTTAAACCAAAAAAATCTGTCTCAGTCTTAAATAGGTAACACCAACGTAGCATCCATAACATCTGGGCTACAGAATTCTCAAAAGATGAAGAAATTTGTTCTAAAGTCTACTTACATGATTGATTCCCAATCACTAATGTGTTCTATATTGAGTAGCCAGAGGTAACAACATTTCACTCTACCCTGTCAAGACCCTTTAGAATCCTGTATGTTTCCCTAATATCACCCCTCATCTTTCTGAACTCAAAAGAGTTTAGGCCCAACTTAGTCAGCCTCTCATCACTGAGCAACCCTCACATTCCAAAAACAACTCTAGTAAATCTTCACTTGTACTGCTTCCAGTGCAAGTAAATTCTTCAATAGATGCAGAGGCCAAAACTACAGTACTCCTGGTGTAGTTTCACAACAGCCCTATATAATGGTAACAAGACTTATTCTCATAATGCAACCCCTCTTACTATAGCAGTCACAATATTATTTGCTTTCCTAATTGCTTCTGTATCTGCAAGCTAACTTTGGGTTTCTTGTACAAATACACCTAAGTCCGTCTGAATATCATAATTTACAATTCTCACAGCATTTTTAAAAAAAAACTCCACTTTTTTTCATGTGACAGAAGCAAACAACCTCTCTCCCCACTCACCCCAACATTATACTCTATCACTTGGTTGTTCATTTTATCTATCTATACCTTGCAGCATTTATGCATTCCCCTCATAGCTTATATCGTCACTTAACTTTGTATTGTCAACTGACTTAAATACTAACTTAAAGACTTAGCCTCATTTATTTATGGGATGTGATCTTTGTGCCATTCTAGCAGATGCAGCCTCAAACTTATAACATCCCACTCTGTTTCCTGTCTGTTTACCAATCCTTCATCCACGCTAATATATAGGATTCCCAAATTTGTGTGCCCTTTATCTTTCATACTAACCTTTTGTGTGGCACCTTATCAAAAGACTTTTGGAAATCCAGATGCGTCAAATTTACTGGGTCCCCTTTATTTACCCTATTGCATTCTCAAAAAACGCAAAGAAAAACACTCAAACACAATTCCCCTTTCATAAAGTAAAGCAAGAGACAGTGAATGCTGGGAATCTGAAACAAAAACAAAGTGATGGAAGAACTCAGCAGATCTGGTGCCATCTGTGGAGAAACAGAGTTTAACTTCGAGTCCAAGTAGTCTTTGGATTATTTTATTCCCCTCCCGTAAAACCCTCATGATGACTTTGTCCAATGGTACTACAATTTTCTAAGAGCTCTTTTAAATACTTAACAACAGATTCCAGCTTTTCAGCAAATGATGTTGGGCTTTCTTCTTTCTTTCTTCTTTTCTTGAATAGCAAGGTGTATTTGGTAACTACCAATCTGCTGGGCCTACTCCCATATCTGGGGAGTTTTAGAACTTCATTACATGCATATGCATTCTTTGTACAGTTCTCTCTTTACAAACCCTATAACGAAGGCCATCTGGTCCTAGGATTTATCAGATTTGAGTCCCTTAATTTTCTCTAGCATATACTCTCTGCTGATAATAATTAATTAGAGTCCCTGATACTTAGTCCATTTGTTACCCAAGATCTCTGCTGTGTAATTTGTTTTTTCCACTTCAAAGACGGGCGCTAAATATTTGTTCAATGTCTCTACTATTTTCACATTTTCCATGACATTTTCTCCTATCTTTGCTTCTAAGGGACCGATGTTTACTTTAGCTACACTTCTTTTCATATACTCTTACAATCTGCTTTTATATTCCTGGCTAATTTAATATCATATTCTATTTTTAATCTTGTAAAATGAACTTTTTGATCATGGTTCCAAAACTCCCAGTCTTCAGGCTTACTATTACTTCTGCAACATTAAAAAGGCCCTTTTAAAAAAAATCCTTAAGTTTGCTGATTAACCTGTTTCCACTCAAATATTTCCTTCACCTTTGTAGTCCAGTGCAAAATTAAAACCCAGATATTTTCTTTTCTAGTAGCAAAAGAAACCACTGAATGTCATATTACTGAAATTCCAGGACTTAAATGGATATTAGTGATCCATATGAATTGCCAGCACTAAGGAACAAAAATTAAAACCAGGAACTTGAAATACTAGAACTAATTCAGTCAGACCAGAGAAGCCCAAGGAGGTAAAGATTTTACCAAATTAAGGAAGGTTTAAGAAAAGATGAAGAGGAAAGACCATTTCAATAATCTCAAATTTCTGTTCAGCTAAATTACCAATATTCACACTGTAGCTGTGCCTATTGCAAACAAAAATCCTCAGTTAATATTTGTTTTCACATATTGTACATCCACTTTTTCAACACTAAATACAAAGAACACAGAATATTTTACCATATGAGCGTAAAGGATGTTTAGCAGCTTGCAGGCATCAATATACCCCAAAATATACGTCACAAAGAGTGATGCAACCTAAAAGAATAAGGAGACTAAATGACTAAACAGAAAGGAAGCAACTCTGAATCAGAATAAAACAGGATTACTAACAAATCCCCATATATCTCACACAGATACAATTCACAAATTAGCAAAAGTAGGATCACATAATATTTATTGAAATACATTATTTGCTTAAAGGTTCAAACAATTGCATTGTACTAAAAGATGCACCAGTTTAGTGAACTGAAATGTAATTGCTATGAAATTGTATATTCACAAGAAAAATGCCAATTTGTTTGATGTTAAAACAAATTCCATTGGGATATCATGCAGAATTGACCTCATAAAAGCTGACAAATACATGGAATCTGCTGCCATCAGGGGCCTGTGAATCACCAACTGTTAATTCTCTTATCCAACCAACCCACAAGTAGGCAGCACACAGTACAAATGAGTTGATGTCCAGAAAATTAAAAGCATATACCACAGATATTTGCACCCTGCCAAAACATTCTTGGTGTCTTTTTTGAAAATATAATCACATCTGATAGCAGGAGGCCAAAATTTACTGTTGTCTCCCCAGCCAAAACAAATAAAGTGGAGTAATTCAGAAACAAAATGTCAAAAGAAGTGATTAAAATACATGAGTGACAAATATTGACATGAGAAACGACTGTGTGACTAATGAGTGAAAAACAACAAATTGATTACAAGTGAGTGTGGGGGTCAGGACTACCAAACAAGATAACAGACAAGTGAGAATTAAGATACAGATTGTCAAAGCAATACCAAAATAACATGAAAACAAACAAAAAGTAAATTGTTCTTCGATAATTTAACATCTCCCTGGATTATAGGGAATGATAGATACAGGAGGTACGATAGAGCAATTCTTCCCAAAGACACCAAACCTCAATGCAATCCTTCACTGCCAATTTTTGACAGGTTCATCAGGTAGCAATAGATCGCCCCACCATCCCCATTCATTAACCTTGTGCCTGCCTGACTGATGAACCAGACTGCAACAAGAAATAAAGTGATGACATTACCACAGTTGAAGTAATATATGAGAAACAGTGCTCTGAGCCATTAACTATTCAGGAACAGCACCCAGGGAGACATCTGGGTTGTTATAGTTTTACCAGACAGAGCACGAAAGACACTTATGTACGCTAACCTCTCAGCATGGCTCATCAATTTGAATTAATTATTAAATACAACACTGTGCAAAAACAGACAGCATGCATCATAAATCTGTTTCCAGGTCAAGTAGGCATATGTTAATTATATGAATTGTAGTTTTACAAATGACAGATGGGATCCTCTGCCTAGATGTCTACATAACAAATGAATTGGGGCATTAAAAATTATTTGCCAGTAAGCAAAATATTTGGTCTGCAGGATGACATCTTATTAAAGCAGAAATAAGTTTGCAATGCACTGAGATTGTGGTCAATTGGCCTAAAATATGGAGTTGTAAAAAGACACAAACTACTCACAAAATCATCTAAAGTTTTCAATATAGGATTTCATGTCGTCAGAAAAATCAAGATCTTATAACTCAAATGTCAAATATTAGCGTAAAAGCTAAACACGCTTGTTGTTATTATTTTCCATTAATGTTTTTGTCCGAGAGACAGCAAAGACATTGTGCAGCTGAAGTGTGTGCGTTTGTCTGTTTACAGTTATTTTAAGTTTAGTTAGTTTCTTTTAAGTCTAGAAAGGAAATCTCAACTTTTACTATTTGCGTCAATGATCCTCACCTGTGTAAGGAGCACAAATTGTGCAAACTGCCATGGAAGCAGGAAGAGAATAGTTGCAATACAAAATGAAACAAAGGTCCTCTTTTCCACACAGACTCTTCTGTTGAAAGGAAAATGCATTTAATACATTTTAACGCAGACATTAATTGTGACTGCACATGCACTCAACATAACAAGGAATTTTCAAACAGGAAGATGTAGGTTAGTACCTTAGTATGCGGGTTAAAAGCAGCATCTGCAAAATTAGAAATGGATAGGAGAAGCTCTCACGGAGAGGAGGGGTCCACATGACTCTTGTGCACTAAAATGAAAGAACAGCTGCTCAGCATAAAGTTCCTCAGTAAATTAAAATCCAACAGCTTACTCAAATATTTCCCTTTCAACCAAAAAAAACCTACTACTTACATCCCACATGGACAGGAAGAACAACCTCAATGTATTCCCACAAATAACAAATGGAACATTCACCAAGGTAATAGTAATACCTTGATCAATGAAAAAAAATTAGGAAAATATTCAATTATTCAGTCAGCAAAATACCATGGCAAGATAATAGAAAAAATATAAGAATCCTAAAAAGGACCAGGCTTAAAGGTTAGGGTAAATTAGATTGAGGAATTGAGGCTACAATCAGATTAGTGACAATCTTGATAAATGGTACAGCAGACTAGAGTGGCCAAGTGGCCTATCCCTGCTCTGTTCCTTCATTTAAATGCCAGAACTGTGCCAAATCATGAACCACTCACAGCTACCTGTTGTTACCTACCAATGAACAACCTTGCATCAGCCATTACACTGTACTAAATAAGTGCAGCCAACCACAGCTTCTCAATTAGAAACTGGATTTGGCCCAACTATTGCATTGCCCTCAACGACCTGCAAATCATGAAGCTTCGTAAGATTCCATACTCTCAAGTTTCTATCCAAATGCTTAGCCAGGCTTCAAGATTTTTCGGTTAATGTGCACATGCACAACAATGATCACCATGCTGTGTCTGCTTGCATGCAGATACTGGTTACTGCTCCAGAGCCTGGCCCATCATTAATTTAAAACAAGATTAATATTTTCCGATAAAAGCAAATTACTACACGTTAAAATAAAAACAGAAAACATTAGAATTATTCAGCAGGTAAGATAGCATCTGAGAAAACATAATTAATATTTTACAATGATAATCTGTCATCAAAATTCAGTACAGTTAACTCTTTTTCTTCACTGATTCTACCAAACTTATTCAATAATTCCGGCATTTTCTGCTTTTCTTTCAATTTTCTACTATTGGTAAGTGTCTTTGGTTTAGTTATTTCATAAAATGCTCAATAAAAGTAAATTAATATGTTAGAAGGCACTAAATTAGAAAATAGCCAAATTCAATGAGGTTCCAGGTTTCCCCAATTCTTTGTGACACATGGTCAGTCATGGACAGAAACAGGCTTGCATGGTTTAACCAAATGGTCAAATAGCCTGCTGTTTATTGTTGAAGCTCACACATAAACAAAGGCTCCTTGCATATGGTACCAGAAGGCAACGGCTTCCTCTGAAACCATTCCCCAGTAAGCACCGTCTGGATTGGTGGAGTAGGAGGTTGATGAACTGTTTGGCGTCAAGGGCACAGGAAAATAGATGAAATTTCTGCTTTTAAGTGTGGTCCTTAGAAGATTGATCGAAGTGCCATTGGGCTGGAATATCCTGTAGTGCATTTGAGGAAACAGCATGCTGGGAAGTATAAGGGAATTAGAAAATTACAATTAACAACATGTTGAGTTTAATATGGATAATAAAACTAGTCATCATATTTTACAAAGCTGATCCACACTCAGTAAAGAGACATATTAACATTTTAACATGATGAATGAGTTGAGTGTTCCTGCATTAAAACTGTCATTAAATCAATAGTTGTTAAAATAAGATCAGAGCGGGCAGAGAAGAAACATTAAGTTCATTTAGCAACTGCATATTTCTCTCAAAAGTTAAAGCATTGTTTCAACGTCTGATCTAAAATTAAGATTTCAATTCCAGTGTTAATGTGAATACAAAAAGTATTCAAATAGTTGATATTTAAATACCAGTTTATCCATTGAAATATGTTTAGCAGATACACTAATATTATTTTAAATTAGTGATATGACAGTAAAGCTTGCACCTTTTATGAACCAATAAGGAACATTAGAGCCTAAATAAAGGCATATTGAAAATCTTATTAACTTTTCTGAATTTTCTCTGTCTTGGCACAGTGATTCAGAAGTTTTGTTTAAAATGCTTTTGTTGCACCAATGCTCAACACAAATAATTCACTAGTCATGCATGCAAAGAGCTTCAACAGTATTTAGCAAAGCCTTGATTTGAAAACTAGACATGAAGTTTCACTTTCACACACTAGGACATGAATTGCCAAATCATATTTGAATTAGACATGGAAGGTGGAAGGGTCAGGGAATACAACAGTGTAGGACTAAGGACATCAGCAACAGGACTTTTGGATGAATTGAAGCTTCAGCTATCAGAATTGTCAGGAGTGAATCTGCCCACCAATGGTGCCAGCTTTCAGTTTGAGACACAGTGCATTCAACAAAGAAGCAGCCTAATAATGCAAGGGCTAAGCAATATCCTTACTACAATGAAAAATTTTCAAATACAGGTGATCTCAAAATAAGACTGAAATAAAAATAGAATTTTAAAATCTGTTATGCTTACCTCACCATGGTTAAAAAAAAAGCAAACTACAGTGATCACTCCACCAAACCTGCTCCCACTGCAAAATAGGACAATTATATCAGTTACAACTTCATACCTCTATTCTCAACAACAAATTTTCACTTATCAAAATTTCATTATTTATAATCATTAATGAATCCCTATTCAATAAGATGCAAACAAAAAGCGCACTGAAAAGACGCTTCTCAGCCTTGGTCTTTTGTTACATCTTTGCTCCCACCTTCTGTTGTCACTTAGCAGCAATCACAACAGTCAATTTGTGGACAGAATGGTTACAAAAACAAATGAAAATAATTACCATGATATCCTATATTGGTAATACTTGTTTCCACACAGGATACAATACAAATGATAAAAAAAACAGGCCAATACTCTGACTAGTTTGTGACAGCATTTTACTACCTCCTGAGCCTCTTCCCATCTTGGCCTATTTAAATCTACCATCAGTTACAAAGAAGTGTCATATTTGGCTCAAAAGGTTAACCCTGTTTCTCTCTTCTCAAGTACTGTCAGACTCACTGGGTTTTTCCAGCACTCTGTTTTTATGCCATTATTCCTCTCTCTCACCTACTTGCCTAGTTTCCTCTTAAGTGCACTGATTTGCTTCAATTACATCTACGGATTAACTTCCACATTCTCATCATTCTTTGAGTCAAGAAATTTGTTCGGAATTCCCTATTGGGTGCCTTGGTGACTACCTCAATGATGGTCTACAGCTCCCTCACAAGAGAAAACACTCTCTGCATTCTCGCTGATTGAGCGATAAATATTGCTCACGACACTTGGGAAAACTTTTGTCCTTTATATCCACCTTGAGAAGCAGACAGGATTTACACACTGTCAGCACCAAAGTAACTGGTCATTAATTCATTTGCTATTTGGGAGACATGGTAGCATACATAATGACTGTTATGTTTTCTTGTAGTGGCTATATTATGATTCACCATTCACAAAATTCTTTGGGGCATCTGGGAGACATAATTGCATTATATAAACATATGGCTTGCTTCTTCTTTGTATTAATTGGTTAAACTAACTCAACAAAACTGCAAGCATTCAACTTAATATATTCTCCCTGCTCAGTGTTCTCAGCCAGTACATGCACAGAAATGTATCAACACATAAGGACTTATTTCCAGCACAGTAACTGACCATTAAGTATTTGTCAGAAATTAACAACAGAGAGGCAGGCCATTTGACCCAGTCAATCCATGCTGATGTTTGTCCTCCAAACACAAACACAAAATCTTAATCTTGGGTTCACATTGTGTTCCCATAGTTCGTTCCTTCAGCCACCTTTCAAACATGACAGTAATTCCGAGTAATTCTCTGGTTGGCAAGATGTAGCCTTTCAAAATTACGTAATTTATTTGGATTAAGAGACCAAAGGTATGGTTGCTAAATTTGATGACACAAAGATATGTAGGAAAGTAATCAGTCTAGAGAGCATAAGGAGTTACAAAAGGTTTATCTAGACAGGTTAGGTTTTTTTTAAAATATTATTTTGTGGGATGTGGGCATTGCTGGCATACCATCATTTATTGCCTGTCCCTAGTAGTCCTTGAGGTGGGTGCTGCAGTCCACCTGCTGTGAGTTGATCCACAATGCCATTAGGAAGGGAATTCCAGGACTTTGACCCAGTGACAATGAGAAATGGTGATATTTTTTCCAGTCAGGATGGTGAGTGGCTTGAAAGGGAACTTGAAGGTGGTGGTGTTCCCATATACTTGCTGCCATTGTTCTTCGAGTTGGAAGTTTTCATGGTCTGAGGATCTTGGGTGAATTTCTGCAGTGCATCTTGTAGATAGTACGCACTGCTGCTACTGAGCGTCGGTAGTGGAGGGAATGAATGCCTGGGGATGTGCCGCCAATCAAGCAGGCTGCTTTGTCCTGGATGGTGTCAAGCTTCTTGAGTGTTGTTGGGGCTGCACTCATCCAGGCAAGTAGGCAGTATTCCATCACACTCCTGACTTGTGCCTTGTAGATGGCAGATAGGCTTTGAGGAGTCAGGAGGGGAGTTACTCACCGCGGTATTCCTAGCCTCTGACCTGCTCTTATAGCCACTGTGTTCATGTGGTGAGTTCCTGGTCAATGATAACCCGCAGGATATTGATAGTGGGGGATTCAATGAAGGTAATACCATTGAATGCCAAGGAAGAATGGTTAGATTGTCTCTTAATGGAGATGGTCATAGTCTGGCATTTGTGTGGCATGAATTTTACTTGCCACTTGTCAGCCCAAGCCTGGATATTGTCCAGATCTCGTTGCATGTGAACATGGACTGCTTCAGTATCCGAGGAGTCATGAATGGTGCTGAACATTGTGCAGTTATTGGCAAACATCCCCATTCTGACCTTATGACAGAGGGAAGGTCATTGATGAAAATGGTTGGGCCTGGGACACTACCCTGAGGAACTCCCGCAGAGATGCCCTGGAGATGAAATGATTGACCTCTAACAACCACGACCATCTTCCTATGTGTCAGGTATGACTACAACCATCGGACAGTTTGCCCCCGATACCCACTGATTTCAGTTTTGCTACGATTACTTGGTGCCACACTCTGTCAAATGCAGCCTTGATGTCAAGGTCTGTTACTCTCACCCACTTCTGGAATTCAGCTCTTTTGTCCATATTTGAACCAAGGCTGTAATGAGGTCAGGAGCCGAGTGGCCCTGGCAGAACCCAAACTGGGCGTCACTGAGCAAGTTATCGCTGAGCCGATGCTGCTTGATAGCACGGTTGATGAAACCTTCCATCACTTTACTGATGATCGAAAGTAGACTGATGGGGCGGTATTGGATGGGTTGGATTTGTCCTGCTTTTTACGTACAGGACATACTTGGGCAATTTTCCACATTGTTGAGCAGATACCAGTGTTGTAGCTATACTGGAACAGCTTGGCCAGGGGAGCAGCAAGTTCTGGAGCACCAGCCTTCAGTACTATTGCTGCAATGTTGTCCTTGCCTGAAGCCTTTGCAGTATCCAGTGTTTCCAACCGTTTCTTGATATCACATGGAGTGAATCGAATTGGCTGAAGACTGGTATCTGTAATGCTGGGGACCACTGGAGGAGGCCGAGATGGATCATCCACTTGGCACTTCTGGCTGAAGATTGCAGTGAATACTTCAGCTTATCTTTTGCACTGACGTGCTGGGCTCTTCCATCATTGAGGATGGGGATATTTGAGGAGCCTCCTCCTCCAGTGAGTTGTTTAATTGTCCACCACCATTCATGACTGGATGTGGTAGGACTGCTGATCTTCGATCTGATCTGTTGGTTGTGGAATCCCTTAGCTCTGTCTATCTCTTGCTGCTTTCGCTGTTTGGCATACAAGTAGACCTGTTTAATGGTTTCACCAAGTTGACACCTCATCTTCAGGTATGCCCTCCTGCACTCTCTATTGAACCAGGGTTGATCCCTGGGCTTGATGGTAATGATTGAGTGGGGGATATGCCGGGCCATGAGGTTACAGATTGTGCTGGAGTACAATTCTGCTGCTGTTGATGGCCCACAGCGCCTCATGGATGCCCAGTCCTGAGTTGCTAGATCTGTTCAAGTCTTTCCCATTTAACACAGTGATAGTGCCACACAACACAATGGAGGTTATTCTCAATGTGAAGGTGGGACTTCATCTCCACAAGGACTGTGCAGTGGTCACTCTTACCAATACTGTCATGGACAGATGCAACTGCAGCTGGCAGATTAGTAAGGATGAAGTCAAGTATGTTTTTTCCCTCTTGTTGGTTCCCTCACCACCCGCTGCATACCCGGTCTAGCAGCCATGTCCTGTAGGACTTGACCAGCTTGATCAGTAGTACTGCTGCCGAACCACTCTTGGTAGTAGACATTGAAATCCCCACCCAGAGTACATTTTGAGCCTTTGTCATCGTCAGTGCTTCGTCTCAATGTTGCTCAACATGAAGGAATACTGATTCATCAGCTGAGGGAAGATGGTACGTGATAATCAGCAGGAAGTTTCCTTGCCCATGTTTAAATAAGTGGACAAAGATCTGTAAAATGGAATATAATATGGGAAAATGTGAAATTGTCAATTTTGGTACGAGGAACAAAAAGCATATTATCCAAATGGTGAGAAATTGCAGGCCTTGAAAGATGCAGAGGGATCTGGGTATTCTAGTGTAGGACTCACAAGAAGTTAAACATGTAGGTACAGCAAGTAATTAGGAAAGCCAATACTGTTGAATATTACCATTTATTGCGAGGGAAACTGAATATAAAAGTAGAAGGTTGTGCTTCAGGGTATTGATGATGAATGCATTTTTTTTTAAAAAGTCTTTGCTTCAAAGACTCACTATACAAGCGGCTCTGCAGACTCGTCAGGCGTCTGTGCAATGCATGTTTCTGCTGTCAGTCCTCTTAATCTGATATCATATTGATGTGTACTTATAAATCTAACCACACATGAACAAGTTGAGGGTGCAATAAACATTATCAAGCTAGAGAAGATTAACGCTCACAGAGGGAGCTGAACGGCGTGCACAAATCATAACATTCAGCTTAAAGTTTAAAAAAAACTACTTTCAAGTCACTAAAAAAGGATAAAAAGAGCTACATATCTCAGTGATGTTACGATTCTGGATTGATAAAATAGGAGGAACACCCCCTGGTGGAGCTAAAAATATCAGCCCTAGCCAACTCAAGAATGGATTCAATTCATTCCATATAGAAATCACTACATACAATTTAAACCAAGAGCTAGGTTAACTTCAGCATCAATGTCAAGGAATACTCATCATCAGGCATACCACAGCTGAAGCATTGATCCCATGCAAGAAAAGCATGTCCTATTTTCATATAGTCTTCCTTTCATTCACCTTGCAGCAAGGAAATGTTTACATTTTATACAGATTGATTTCCTGCAGAGGCCACTGCGTGCAAATTGGCTGCTGCATTTCCCACAGTATAATAGTGACTAAACTTTTACACTTAAAAGAAGAAATATTGCCATCAGAGAGATAAGTAGCACTTAGAGTGCAAAGTGTAAGTCATAACGTGAACCTTAATTATTTGATGTATTCACATTTTATGCTGTAC